GTGTTCTGATTCACGATTACTTTAAAAGCTTTCATTTCCATCCAGGGAAGTCCAGTGGGATGCAAATGTTATTACTCTTTTCTGAGGGGTGGTTCTTAGAGAGACACACGATGAGCACAGGATGGGTGAAGGTGGTACACTCAGTAATTAGCAGAGCTGACACTAAAACTTAGACCTTATATTCCTTACGTACCAACTCTGAACTCACTGGTGCCCCAGCCAAGGCTCTTACTCCAAAACATGTCCACCCAAATCCAGAAAATACATCCATGAAAAACTATCAACTGCTTGATTCCCAACGACATGCTCTTAAGTGTTTATAATTCAGAGAAAAAGAGGAACATCATATGTACTATATAATGTACATATGCACTATATGGTTATATGTGTGTATATATAAACTGTGAACCATTTCCCTCTTCAAAGCTCAACCTGAAACTGCATGGAAGGTGGGAGGCATTCTGGGAGGTCTCAAAGGATTTAGCTGAATTTATAGAGGGTTTTTTTGGTTGTGTGTGCATTTTTAATCTGGAGCAAAGATAGTGGGAGAAGAAAGCAGGGATTCTCAGGTGGAGTGAGTGCCTTTACATGACCTGTAACCCTTAGAGAGACACGCTACAGATGAAGCCTCACCATCCCCAAGTCCCAAAGATGGCCGGTCAGTGTAGGTAGGTCCTGCTTCTAAACCCCAGAACTCCAGACCCTCATCTCAGAAGAAAGGCCATTGGTCTGAGCACTGAATCTGAGGAAGGACATACACCACTACCACCCCTGCTAGATAGACCCAGAGGCTACTCAGTTGAGTGAGGTTGAAAACAGACCCCTGGCTCTGTCTCCAAGAGGCTCCTTTCTGCACGGGAAGGCAAAATGGTGCGGTGGTTAGGAAGATAGGATTTGATCTCAGACAGACAGAAGTTTATATCTAAGCTCTATTGCTTGCTAGCTGTCTAATTACGGACGAGGAGCTCAATCAGAGCCTCAGTTTTTTGGGGTATAAAATGGAGCGGTTGAACACCTAGTTCATGGGTTTCTTTTGAAGATTAAATGAGATTAAAGCACTTCACATGGTGCCTGACACAGAGTAAAGGCTCAATAACATGTTTTCCCAAATCTGTGATTCAGCCTAAGAATCATTTCCTTGTTGGCAAAGATCCCTGTCGCCAAGTCCAACTCTCTACCACAAAAATAAGGCTTGTGGTTCTCTGACTATAATGAAATGTGTACAAGCAACCAGATTAGTTTAACTCCTCACTGGGATCACCTCAGGCCTTTGAGAAAAATGTTAATAAATTCTATCTATACACAACACAGTCAAATGCTTCCAGAGGCACAGAAGTGAACTGTTTTTCTAGTTTAGCACCGTCTCAATCTGATGGCAATTTACTTCCACCCTGTTTCTCTCTCCTCTTCTTCTGGGACTCCTGTTAGGCATGTGTCGGTATGCTTGACGGTTTCCCACAGGTCTACGAGGATCTGCTCATTTTTCTTCTTTCTGTTTTCTTTCTGCTCCCCGGACAGGATAATTGCATTTGACCTATCTTCAAGTTAACTGATTCTTTTTTCTGCCAGCTCAAATCTAGTGTTGAGCCTTCTAGTGAGTTTTTCATTTCAGTTGTATTTTCAACTCTAGAATTTATATTTGGTTCTTTCTGATTTGTCTTTCTTGACACTCTCTATTTGGTGAGACATCATTCTCTACTTTTCTTTCATTCTTTACACACTGGTTTCCTTTAGTTCTTGAATATATTTATAATAGCTGAGCTACTACCTTTTCCTGTTACATCGAACCTCTGGGCTTCCTCAGGAACAGTTTTCTAACTGTGTATGGGACCCTGCTTTCCTGTTTCTTTGCATGTCTCATTTTTTTGGTTGTTGAAACTGGACATTTTAAATATAATGTCAACCCTAGAAATGAGATTCTCCTCCTTCCCCAGGATTTGTTACTGCTGCTGTTTGTTCACTGACTTCCCTGGACTCATTTTGTAAAGTCTGTGCTCTTTGTCATGTGCAGCCACTGAGGTTTCTGCTCCACTAGCTTAGTTTTGAGCTAAGGATTAGACAGGGATTTCCTTGAATACTTTAAGCCCACAAGTCTCCCACCTTTGCTGAGGACCTCTATGTGTGTGTTGGGACTCGCCTGTGATGCTCCAGCAGGGTGGTGACAACTCTGCCTTAGCCTTCACCTTCTGCTTACACAGAGCCTCAAGTTCAGCCAGAGGTGAGACTTTAGGGCTTTCTCAGGTCTTTCCTGGGCATTTGCACAACTCTGCATGTGCATGTGGATTTCCTAAGAATATTTCAGAGCTTTCCAAAGCCCCCTGGACATCTCATTCTCCAGATTTTCCTTTCAAGATCTTTGGTCAGCCTCTTGATTACCCCAACCGGTATTGCTACCTCAGGCAGCTGTGATGTTAAACAGTGATCGCTTTCAACAAATGTCCTGGAAATAGCGCTTTCCCACTGAGAAAGCTCTGAGTCAGGTCAAATATAGGCAAATCCTCTGAATGGGGCCTTTGCAGGGAACTGCCCAGGAGTCAAATAGTGACCTAGGGATGGGACTTCTGGGGGAGCTCCAAAGTTGTCTGTCCCCCTCCAGTGGCTGTGAGGCTGCTAGTTTTCACAGCTACCACGTCTGGGAGGCTGCTGGTTTTCAAGGCTACCACAGAGCCTGGAAGAGGGGATCGGAATAGGACAAGTTAAAACACAAAGCTTGCTACTTTACTGTTATTCAGATATTTGTCTTGAATAGATGCTCACTGGATTGTTTCAAGCCTTTGGTTAAGAACCCTGAAACAACTGATTTTGATAACGTCTGCCAGTGGTGTTCTTGTTTTCATGGAGGAACAGATGATGCAAGGTCCTCACTCCACCATTCCAGAAGTGCTAACCCATTTATTCCCTTTGTTATCACTTAACCAAATAGATTAAGGAAGAGTGTCCAGAACCATAGGATTAACACCACTCTGCCAGACTGAAGACCATATAAGCAACCTGCCGTACAAGATGGAATGAAAAGGAGTTGCCTTTGCCCCTAAAGCACGGCCCAGAGATGAGCCACAGTGACCAGGATCAACACTGTTCCTGGTACATTTTGTTCTTATTTCTTGCTATCATGGGTCAGTGACCTGACCCTGCCATAAACAGCGTCCAGAACTGAAGACCGCAGCCTCTGGAATGAGGCCATTGCCCGGTTATTGCCACCATCACCACTCCCGTTCACAGAAGATATTTATCAAGCACTCATCTGCCCTAGAATTCCAAGGTAAGCCTCAAATGCCCTGTTGTCAGATGCCATAAGGTTTATGGTGGTCAAAGGTTGATGCACTCAAGATGTTTAACTCTAGGGAAAAGTGAAAGGTCTTAGAGGCATGGAATCCTGAGTCTGGAAGGGAACCCAAAGATCATCAGGTTTCACTATCCATCTATAGCCTGATATTCCCCACAATATCCCCACTAAGTGGTTGGTTCCACCTAAACTTGAATACCTCTCAGTGATGGGCAACTCATAATATCTTTAGCTGGCCATCCTAAGTATTGGAAACTTTCTCTTTGTTTTGTGAATGAATGCAGAGACATACTCAGAACTGAGAAGCTGGAGAGAGGGAGGAACGGAGACCAGAGGCCTTGGAGACTAATGTGGGTACCTGGGGCTATTCCAGATGAGAGGTCACCTAATCTGTGCCTATGCCTGAAAACCAGGTGTGCCTCTCTACTGTGGATGATACCACCTCTTATCTAATGCCTCAGCAGATAAACACTTTAATTCAGGTGAAGGGCATTGATAAGCCTAAAGTGAAGGCCTGGTACAATTCAAGGAAGGAGCATAGGCAATCACGGATCAGGAGTGTAGGCTTTGGAGTCTGACAAATCTGTACTTGAATCCTGGCTCTGCCCTTTGAAAACTGTGTGTTCTTGAGCTATTACCTAATCTCTCTGAGTTTGTTTCCTCATCTGTTAAATGGGGAAAATTACACTATTTACCTCTCACTGGTGTGGTGAGAGTTAAATAAAATAATATATAAAAAGTCTTGGCACATAGTAAATGCTAGTATTGTTGTAAGATACAGTTTGCGAGCCTAGAGAAAACCTGAGGTTATAGCCAACTGGGGTTTCACTAAGAATAAGTCACGTCAACCAATCTCAGTTCTTTTCTTCTTCTGGTTACTGAGCATGATATACACTCTTGATTTTAATCCAACAAACTGGAGGGTTAAATGGTCAAGGGTAAGCAGAGCTGGGTGGATCTGTAAAGACACCTTTAATGGAATGCCCTGAGGTTCTGTCCTTGCCCCTGTCTAGGACGACATTCTCATTAAACTTTAGACTGAAGATGCAGCAAACACCTTGCTGGAAAAGCAAGCCAATACACCAGCATAAATATTGAAATTTATCTTACCAAAGCCAAGAAAAAGAAATGAAAGAGGGATGTTGTCTTGCATTCAGGTAAAAAAGGAGCAATGTTCCAAGGTGAAGGATTGGCTGGAGAGTGATCATGTCACAAGACTCATATAAATGTCCATCCACCCGTTCACTCAATCACTCATTTAATAACAGTTGGAGTATCTACTCCAGGTTGGCCACTGCTGAGGAATTATAAAGATAAAAAGACATAAATTCCTACTCTCAGGGAGTTCCCAGTTTAGTGGGAAAACAGACCTGGAAATGATCTTCTTTTTTTTTTAATGGTAAGTGTTAAGATGTACCAGGAACAGCACAATAAAAGAGGAAAGGTGGCCTAATACTGCTTTACAGCAGTCATACTGAGATGAGACTCGGAGGATCGGCAGGCATTTTGCCAGACAACTTGATATGGGAAGGAATGGTTGTCTAGGTAACCCAACATCGAAGGCCCTGAGACAGAGCTGTCTCTTCTGGTTGACCCTAAACGACGACTTCACATATACATTTGGGATTTGGAAACAATAAGATGCACAGACACATCAGGCCTCTTGTCTCACACTCCCAGTTCCATTACACTCCTGGACACATCTGTATCTTACCATAGGTGATGATAAGCAGCACAAAGTTGAGGTTTTTGAAGAGTCGGACGATGGAACTCAAGTATGAAGCATCAGGGGACGCCAAGGCATAGCTTAGGGATTGGGCCCTGCTGGGGGGATGTTTAGGCTTCTCCTTGAATACTGAAAGGAAAGAAACAGAGAGATCACTGCAAATCCCTATGGTCCCACCCTGCAGAGCTGATACATGGATGAGAGCTGACTCCCTCATCTGAGAAGGAACTAAGACTCCAAAAGGAAATATTAATTCTTCAATTAAATCCTTTATAGTCTCCTCTCTTGAAGCTGCATCTCACTGTCTGTGGCTCTGTGACTGTGCCTCGGATTATTTTTTCTTAATGGCCTTTGGACGGCTGCAATCACTGGGCTTCCCAGGCAGTATTCAAGGATCAAGGAGCCGAGTAACAACCGGGGAATAACATACGGCAGAGCACTGAAGAAATTCAGTAGTAACACGGAGATAGGAAGGAAGTGAGAGCTGAGGCTCTGGGATTAGTGAGCCCCGTTAAGGACTCAGAACCAGAGCTCCCCGCAGGGGGAAAGGGACTGTGATGCCCATGCTGAGCACAGAGCCTGGCACATGCTGCCAATAAACATTCCCTGAATAAGGGAAAGGATCTTCTTCTATTGGAAAGACCCGGAGTCCGTCCCTAGTTTCTCGAAGTCTGAGTCAGACACCTGCCCCATGAGAAACCAGAGGATTAACACATGCTCCTGTAGGTGTGACCACTCTGACAGGAAGGACAGGGGAGGGACAGTGGGAAAACCATTTGCTTTATGTTCTATTTTCAGTACAACTGGTACAATCCATTTGACTGCATTGATGGCGGTTCAGTTCTCTGGGGGCCAAATCAGTTTAACCAGCTGTTTGGCTAAATTGGTCCCCCAATTGGGTCCAAGTAAATAAGCACTTTGGTGTGTCCCCAGCCCCCATGAGAACACCTCTGAAAGGTCAGGAAACTGCCTCCAGCTAGAGGAAGCTCTGGAAATGAGGTTTAGTCTCTTGAAGATCAAAGGTCTCCCCCCTCCATCCAGATAACCCTCCAGCCCTGACTTCACAGCCCTGCTCCTTCCTTCTCCAGAAACAGCCCTGGGTAACTTCCCACCACTGGGTACTTCTCAACCATTGTCTTGCCTGTTCACCTCCCCTTCTATCAGGGGAAAGAAATCAAGGCAAGAGGTTTTTTTTTTTTAATCTCGGCAACAGCAGCTGTTTGCTCAAGGATTTGGCAACCACAAACCACAGTTTGGATAAGATTGTCAGTTCTTTATTCAATGAGCAAACGTCTGTGCTTACTAGTAAAATGCAAAGTGTAGAAATGGCCTACCTCCAGGATCTCTGCAAAGAACCAGGCCCTCATCTGCTACAAACACAAGAATTTGGAGCTGAACACGTTACAATTTGAAACTTCAAGTCTGGCCGAGATGGTTCTTTCCTGTTCTCAACCACAGCTTCAAGGCTTCTCACCTTCCCAGGAACACCAAGTTCTCCGTCCAAGAGATCCTGTGAGCTTTGAAAAGCCATCGGGCAGCCCTTCCTCAGCTTGGACCCCGGGGAGGAAATGACACAGTGAGAATAGCTGGATGACATACATGATTATAAAACTGTTTGACTCTGGAGTTGAGGCCAGCAGGAAGGAATGAAAACTTTAACGTGTGAGGTGGAACTTTCAGATATTAGGAAGACAGCTGGTTAACTCTGAAAGACAAATGACTCACTGAAAATGAAAACCTCTACTATGCTCTTTCTGAATTTATCACAGCCCATGTGATATCACTCAGAAGAGAAAAAAAGATATAAATGAACCAAATACCTCAATGATTAAATATACATACATAGAATATTAATAATAATTCTCTGGGGCTGGTGGTTGGGATTAACAGGTACAAGGCTAAGTTAATGGTCATTCTTTTCTTTATGCTTTTTTGTATTTTCTAGATTTTTTCCATAATGAGCGTGCCTTATACACATTTTAAAAAACCATTTTAAAATGTGGGCCCCAGGCATTCCCAGGTGAATGTATGAGAGCATTAGTGTTTGTGGGTCAGTCCTATTTTGTTTGCTTGTGTTCCAGAAATTTAGGGTATGGGGTTAGACAAGCTTAGGCTGGAATCCAGCCTCTGCCACTCACTGTCTAATCTTGAATAATTCCCTTATCTCCTCGTAAGTCACTGTTTCCTCTTGGTTAAGTGAGACTGATGCTGGTACCTCCCCTATAGGGCCATTGAGGAGTCAGTGAGATCAGGCACACTCAGCACAGGGCCTGTGACATCATAAGTGTTCACCAGGGCTTCATCAAGGGGATCAGCAGGCTGCCCATTCATTCTAATGAGGTCATACTGGGGAACTGGTTAATTACAACTAACCTTTACTGAACAGCTAACAAAGTACACAGGACCAGCTAGCACTGAATTGGCAGCAACTACTTAGGCTAAAACATTTGAAGACCATAGGAAGCCTGGCTTCCAGTTTCTATAGATATGTTTTATAGATTACATGGGACCTAGAATGCTGCTCTAGGGCCATATTCACAAGGTCCTCACCCAAGTCAGCAGGACCTCCCTGCCTCCCCAACCCCCATGAGCTTATTAATGACCTTACCGATGATGACAAGGATGAAAAGCAGAGTGGCCACACCTGCTATTATGTAGAACATGATGCTGATGTGGTAGGCAAGCTTGTCCTGGTCTTTGATGTTGGGTACCAAGACAGGAGGGACCAAGAACCCAATGGCAATTCCAAGCTATAGAAGACAGAGACAATCAATCATTGTATCAATGGCCCAGAGGTGACAGCACACATTTAAGAGCCTCCTGATTAGAAACATAATCCCCAACTTCCAGTCCTTCTTAAGCCTCAAACAGGGATTGTTCCCCCGTCAAGACATCAGAGATCTTTCTTTTGATTGACAGCTCACCTCACGCACCCTTGACCACCCTCACTACCACAGACTGTGAAAACGATTATAGTTGGGGTTCTCAATGCTGACAGGCTTTTCTCTAGCTACAAATGAATGAAGAATGGTTCCTATACTCCCATCTCTATGGTAGAGTAAAACAATGCTGGTTTTGCTTTTTGTGCCATTTAAATTCTTGATTTCACTGTATCTGTTCACCTGGAGCTGAGAGACCAGCTGAGGGAAAAATTCTACACCCTACAACCCCAAGAACTTGCATTCAGTGAGAGATAGAAGCCTAACGTTGTTACCACATTTATAAACACAGAAGCTTAAGTTCATTGTGTAAGTTAACTTTGTAATTTATAAAGCATCTGTGGTGTGAAGTCACACAACTGCATAAATTCATACACACAGGACATGGGTACATGCAAAGTGGCTATAAATACACATATAAACACAACCCAACAAACTGAAACATCTTATATCTGCGTTGCAGTTCAAACTCCAGTGACCTGAGATAACATGCCTTGGGTGTTTCTGAGGGCAGAAATGCCTTGATTCAGGAGTGACTAGCTGTGATAGAACTCCCCAAACCCTTCTGCCACACAAAATACCAAGGTGGAAATTTGAAAATAGTGTGAGAAAACACGAAATACCCAGGTCCAAATTGTAAGAGTGAGAGAAGCTGAGTAAGTCTTTTGTGTTAAGGTCCCATGTTTCCTTTATTGAACTTGAAAGCAACTGCAGGTAGAGAAGCAATTTGCTTTCAGGCCAACACCATTCATCAGCTGCCAATGTGCTGATCATCATTATTGGTTTTCCAGCCTGTCTATTATAGCCACTCAGGGCGGTCACTAGTGATTCTCAGCTCTGAAATATTCTCAAAAGTCATCATCAATAGGCTCAGTGCAGGGTTGTTCCAATGTACACTGTATACAATCAACAAATCAAACTGATCTTTAAAGCATCTACTATTTGAGGAGATTGGTTCAAGATGGTCTAGTACAAGGACGTGTGCTCACTCCCTCTTGCGAGAGCACAGGAATCACAACTAACTACTGAACAGTCATCAACAGGAAGACAATGGAACTCACGGAAAAAGATACCGCACATCCAAAGACAAAGGAGAAGTTACAGTGAGACGGTACGAGGGGCACAATAACAATAAATTAAATCCCATAACCGCTGGGTGGATGACTCAAAAACTGGAGAACAATTATACCACAGAAGTCCACCCACTGGATTGAAGGTTCTGAGCCCCACGTCAGGCTTCCCAACATGGTGGTCCGGGAACGGGAGGAGGATTTCCGTAATCAGACTTTAAAGCCTAGTGGGATTTGATTGCAGGACTTCGACAGGACTGGCGGAAACAGAGACTCCACTCCTGGAGGGTACACACTAAATCGTGTGCGCATAAGGACCCAGGGGAAAGGAGCAGTGACCCCACAGGAGACTGAACCAGACCTATCTGCTAGTGTTGGAGGGTCTCCTGCAGAGGCGGGGGGCAGCTGTGGCTCACCACAGGTACAAGGACACTGGCAACAGAAGTTCTGGGAAGTACCCCTTGGCATGAGCCATCCCGGAGTCGCTCATTCACCCCACCAAAGAGCCTGGAGGCTCCAGGGCTGGGTCGCCTCAGGCCAAACAACCAACAGGGAGGGAACTCACTCATCAGCAGACAAGCAGATTAAACTATTACTGAGCTCTGCCCACCAGAGCAATACCCAGCTCCAAGCACCACCAGTCCCTCCCATCAGGAAGCATGCACAAGCCTCTTAGATAGCCTAATCCACCAGAGGGCAGACAGCAGAAGCAAGAAAAACTACAATCCTGCAGCCTGTAGAACAAAAATCACATTCACAGAAAGATACACAAAATAAAAAGGCAGAGGACTATGTACCAGATGAAGGAACAAGATAAAGCCCCAGAAAAACAACTAAATGAAGCGGAGATAGGCAACCTTCCAGAACAAAGAATTCAGAATAATGATAGTGAAGATGATCCAGGACCTCAGAAAAAGAATGGAGGCAAAGATCAAGAAGATGCAAGAAATGTTTCACAAATACCTAGAGGAATTAAAGAACAAACAAACAGAGATGAACAATACAATAACTGAAATGAAAAATACACTAGAAGGAATCCATAGCAGAATAATTGAGGCAGAAGAACAGATAAGTGACCTGGAAGACAGAATGGTGGAATTCACTGCCACGGAACAGAATTTTAAAAAAAGAGTGAAAAGAAATGAAGACAGCCTAAGAGACCTCTGGGACAACATTAAACACACCAAAATTCGCATTAGAGAGGTACCAGAAAGAGAAGAGAGAGAGAAAGGAACCGAGAAAACATTTGAAGAGATTATAGTCGAAAACTTCCCTAACGTGGGAAAGGAAATAGTCACCCAAGTCCAGGAAGCGCAGAGAGTCCCAGGCCAGATAAACTCAAGGAGAAACACGCCGAAACACATAGTAATCAAATTGACAAAAATTAAAGGCAAAGAAAAATTATTAAAAGCAACAAGGGAAAAATGACAAATAACATACAAGGGAACTCCCATAAGGTTAACAGCGGATTTCTCACCAGAAACTCTACAAGCCAGAAGGGAGTGGCACCATATATTTAAAGCAATGAAATGGAAGACCTACAAACAAGATTACTCTACCTGGCAAGGATCTCATTCAGAGTCCACGGAGAAATCAAAACCTTTATAGACAAGCAAAAGCTAAGAGAATTCAGCACCACCAAACCAGCTCTACAACAAATGCTAAAGGAACTTCTCTAACTGGAAAACACACGAGTAGAAAGGGACCTACAAAAACAAACCCAAAACTATTAAGAAAAAGGTAACAGGAACAAACCTATCGATAATTATCTTAAATGTAAATGGATTAAATGCTCCAGCCAAAAGACACAGATTCACTTAATGGATACAAAACAAGACCCGTATACATGCTGTCTACAAGAGACCCACTTCCAACCTAGGGACACATACAGACTGAAAGTGAGGGGATGGAAATAGAAATTCCATGCAAATGGAGATCGAAAGAAAGCTGGAAAAAGATATTCCATGCAAATGGAGATCAAAAGAAAGCTCGAGTAGCAAAACTCATATCAGATAAAATAGACTTTAAGTTAAAGAATGTTACAAGAGACAAGGAAGGACACTACACAATGATCAAGGGATCATCCAAGAAGAAGATATAACAATTATAAATATATATGCACCCAACATAGGAGCACCTCAATACATAAGGCAAATGCTAACAGCTATAAAAGAGGAAATCGACAGTAACACAATAATAGTGGGGGACTTTAACACCTCACTTACACCAATGGACAGATAATCCAGACAGAAAATTAATAGGAAACACAAGCTTTAAGTGACACAATAGACCGGATAGATTTAATTGATATTTATAGGGCATTCCATCCCAAAACAGCAGATTACACTTTCTTCTCAAGTGCACACAGAACATTCTCCAGGATAGATCACATCTTGGGTCACAAATCAAGCCTTGGTAAATTTAAGAAAATTGAAATCATATCAGGCATCTTTTCTGAACAAAACGCTATGAGATTAGAAAACAACTGCAGGAAAAAAAGCGTAAAAAACACAAACAGGTGGAGGCTAAATAATATGTTACTAAATAACCAAGAGATCACTGAAGAAATCAAAGAGGAAATCAAAAATACCTACAGACAAATTACAATGAAAACACGACGATTCAAAACCTATGGGATGCAGCAAACAGCAGTTCTAAGAGGGAAGTTTATAACAATACAAGCCTACCTCAAGAAATAAGAAAAAATCTCAAATAAACAATCTAACCTACACCTAAAGGAACTAGAGAAAGAAGAACAAACAAAACCCAAAGTTAGTAGAAGGACAGAAATCATGAAGATCAGAGCAGAAATAAATGGAATAGAGACAAAGAAAACAATAGCAAAGATCAATAAAACTAAAAGCTGGTTCTTTGAGAAGATAAACAAAATTGATAAACCTTTAGCCAGACTCATCAAGAAAATGAGAGACAGGACTCAAACCAATAAAATTACAAATGAAAAAGGAGAAGTTACAACAGACACCGCAGAAATACAAAGCATCCTAAGAGACTACTACAAGCAACTCTATGGCAATAAAATGGACAACCTGGAAGAAATGGACAAATTCCTAGAGATGCACAACTTTCTGAGACTGAACCAGGAAGAAATATAAAATATGAACAGACCAGTCACAAGCACTGAAATTGAAACTGTGATTAAAAATCTTCCAACAAAAAAAGCCCAGGACCAGATGGCTTCAGAGGTGAATTCTATCAAACATTTAGAGAAGAGCTAACACCTATCCTTCTCAAACTTTTCCAAAATATAGCAGAGGGAGGAACACTCCCAAACTCATCTGATGAGGCCACCATCACCCTGACACCAAAACCAGACAAAGATGTCACAAAGAAAACTACAGGGCAATATCACTAATGAACATAGATGCAAAAATCCTCAACAAAATACTAGCAACAGAATCCAACAGCACATTAAAAGGATCATTCACCATGACCAACTGGGGCTTATCCCAGGAATGCAAGGTTTCTTCAATATATGCAAATCAATCAATGTGATAAACCATAATAACAAATGGAAGGAGAAAAACCATATAATCATCTCAATAGATGCAAGAAAGCTTTTGACAAAATTCAACACCCATTTATGATAAAAACCCTCCAGAAAGCAGGCATAGAGGGAACTTACCTCAACATAATAAAGGCCATATATGATAAACCCACAGCCAACATCGTTCTCAATGGTGAAAAACTGAAACCATTTCCTCTAAGATCAGGAACAAGACA